AGCAGCGCGCGAGGCCCTTCTTGAAAGTGGCGTGAGTCGCTTCTGCAGAGGTTTCGGCGCCTTAGTTAACCTTCGGGGCGATGCAGCTGCTGGCACCGTCGGCGCCGCAGCTTTCGATGACCGCCCCGCCGCTGCCACAGCCGGCACCGGCTTCTTGCCCACTTGTGGTTTCCGCGACCCTGCTTTTGGCGCAGCCGCGCATGCTTTCATGGGCCCTGGCTTGGCTACGGCTCGTGGCTTGCTTGCCGGCCGCGCTGCTGCGGCTGCTCGTGCGGTAGCCCGCGGGACAGGCTGTGCCGCCGGCGCATGGATGCTGCCCGTCACGCTGCCAGTTGTGCTAGTGGTCAAGACGGACGTGTATCGCTTCAGAGCCTGCTTCGCCAGTCCCGGGATGGTGGTAGGCAGCACTTGCCGTACCGGCAGCGGGTCATGCATGACAGCGGTGTCAGGTACCGCTGCTACTTCTGCAGCCGCCATCGCTGCAGACGGCCGCCCAGCGGGTCCAGCGGCTCGTGCCATTGCGGCATAAGTCCTGGGCGTCTTTCGAGTTAAGGGGCCTAACGCGGGGCCAGCAGCACCTGATGACCGCCGCCGGGCTGGTTCCCGGGGATCCCTTACGGCAGCCTCATACGCAACAGTAGCTGCTGCTGCCGACCGTGCTGCTGCTACCGCCGCCGCTGCGGCCACTGTCTTCTTTGTTGCCTGTGGCGCCCCAGTATGCTTCACAGACTGCTTCACCGGCTGTGGCGGCGGCGGCGGCTGCTTCGCAGCTGCTGGCTGCTTCGGGACCACCGTTGCCACCACCGCCGGCTGAAGAGGTAGAGACTGCTTCGCCTTGGCTGCCGCAGCCGTGGCCACTTTCGGCACTGCCGTGACATGTTCCACCGAAGCGGCAGCAGCGGCGGTATTGGAGGCGGGATTCCTGGCGCCATGGGGCGCAGTCACAGCGGTCTTTACCATGAGTCCATTTGCCAGTCCCTTGGCCGCCACTGCTGTCGGTCTTGGGACCACTGCCGCTGTGGACTCGTGTGCCGGCTGATCAGCCGTCGGTGCCGTGGCCACGGCCACCGGTCCTCGCCTCGTCGCAAGCGGATTTGCGGCCCGTGCTGCCGTCGTTAATGGGGCTGCAGGTCTCGCCGGCGCCGCCTGTGCCGGTGCCGCCGCGGGCAGCGGCCATCCAGCTGCTCTAGCTGAAATGCGTTGCTTTAGTGTGGCAACCGCTGCAGCTGCTGCCGGCCTGGCAGTAGGACGAAGACGCTGCGGTGCAGCCGTTCTCGCCATCGCCTTTGCGTCACACGCGCGCGGGTCGAGGAATCCAACTTCGGGCAGTCCAGCCAGGCCCCCAGATTTGCGCCCCGCCACGGCTGCTCCCGACGCGGCCCCCGCTGCTGGGGCCAGCTTCATCGGGGCCTTTGCAGCGGGCGGCTTAATGCTCACGCGCTGCGACATAATGACACCGATGACAGGCGCAGGTTTGTCGCCAGCAACGGCTGCTGATATCGCTCCGGCCGGTGCTGCTCTTGGGCCGTGTACCACTGCAGAAAGTGTCTGCCTCCGCGGGTCATACGATGGCGGGTGGTTGACTATACCGGCTGCTGAGGTGCGCAGCGGTGGCCGCAACGGATGCGATGGCGGCGGCGGTACCGCCGCCGCCAGCATGGCAGATAGCGCCGCCGTGGAGGACCGTAGTTGCGCTGCCACACGCTGCGCTGCAGCATGTATGGCACGATCCGGGGGGCCCAGTCGCGCTTTAGCCCTCGTTGCTGCGGTTCCAGCTACGGCTGGCTGTTGCACAGCGGCAGAAGCTGCTTTGGGGCCGCGCACCGTGTTCATACGCTGGGTCTTCGGTGGTGCCTCTGCCGCAGTTGTAGCTGCTGGTGGGTGCGCTTCACCATGCGTCACTGCGTTTGAAAATGGGAGATCCGTAGGCTGTTGCCCTGGCTTCACCACTTGCAGCGCCTTTGACATAGGGGGCTGTAGCTGCACTTCCGGCCGCATGGCAGTCCACGCCGCATATGCCGCACCCGCAGACCCAGCAGCTAAAGTCGGCGGCGGTAGCAGTGCCTTGGCCGCCGGTCCCGCTGCTATAGTTGGGCCCACGTCTGCTCTGTTCGCAGCTGCGCGGGACAGTAAGTTTTCATGCGTATGCGCTCCCATGGCCGCCCCCTGCGGATGCTGCTGTTCCGAGATCGACTCGTCAGGCATCGGCAACAGCACTATACTATGCACCGAGGACAAGGGCCGCTTGCGGCTGATCGGCGCCCCTGGCGATATATGAACTCTGGATGGTATCCCCGATAAATCCACTGGCTCCTCTATCGCCACCGTCAATGGCTCATCTGCTGATGGCGCCGCCGCGACTGCTCTCAGCTCTGGCTGTGGGTTCGCTAACAAGTCCACGACCACAGGCGCCACCACCGATGGCGCGTCCGTTGACGAGTGTGCCGCTACAGGCGCGAGCTCTGATGGCACATCTGCTAATGGGGCAGCCGTTACCAGCTCCGACTGTAATTCCCCCAACGGTGCCTGCGTTATGGACACCACCGGCTGCAATTCAACCGATGGTGCTGCCGCCGCTGGTGGCTCTGCCGCCGGTTGCACAGCTGCTTCCGGTGCTTTCACTGAGGGGCCCGCCACCTGCGCCTCCACCGCCAATGGCACTGCTCCATCAGCCCGCAGCGTGACAGCCATAGCCATAAAGCCTGGGGTAGCAGCGTGACGCAAAGCCTTCCTTGTCGGAAGTATGCGGGGCGTGGCTGAGCCGACGAAGGCACTGCCAGCAGCACTAGGGATACCACCGGCGGCATTAGGACGGGGTGTTGCGACCACACCAGCGACAGCCGGTGCACGGGCTAGCTGCCGGACGCGATTCTTCTTGGGGGGACGTACCGATGCCGGCTGCGTCGGCGATTTCGACTGCAGCGGTGGTGGCACCGCCGCTGCCGCTGCCGTCGCGGGCTGGCCCTTGATCGCTGGTGCCATGAACGTCGCCGGGCAAGGCGCGGCAGGTATTGCCGCCGCCGCCGCCGTCAAGAGCTGCGCTTTGAACGCGGTTGCCATGGGAGTTGCTGCGCAAGGAGCGGCTGCAATAACCACCGAAGCCGTCGCTGGTGCCATAACCTTCGGCACCGAATCGCCACTCCGCTTTACTGCAGCCACCATCTCAGGAGCAGCAGCGGGGACAGCGGCCATGGTGGGCGCCATCGGAGCCGATGGAACCATGGGCCGAATCGCTGCACAGCTAGAGGCCAGGGCACGGCGCACCAGGGCATTCCTAACGGCCGTCGCCGCCGAGGACGTTGCCAACACCACGGACGAAGACGCAAGCACGCCGCTTGACGTTAACTTCCCGGGCGCCACCGGCATCATGGCGAGGGAAGACCCGAGTCGTGCAGATGTCGCTTTCATCGTCGTCCGGCGAGCCAACGCGGCAAGTGACATATCAGAGGCAGGTGTTGTCGATACTTCTACTGCCGGTTCATCTGCTGCTGCTGTTGCATTGGCGGCATCTGCTGCTTCTGCCAAGGCATTGGAGGCATCTGTTGCCACTGCTGGTGCATCGGCCGTAGCAGCATCCGCCGTTGTCCGAGGACGCGTAACAAAGGCTGCAGCGGGAGTGAGCATGGTAACTTCGCTGCCACTGCTGCTGTTCGCATGTGACGAGTAGGGAGTGTCCAAGTGCAGCCCCGCCAACGCCCCAGCAGCCGTTGGCGACGGGGACGGTGGTGGCGGCGAGGCTGCAGTTTCTTCTTGCGCCAGCAGAGGATTCTCCGCCAGCGGCGGTGGCACAGGTGACGGACATGCCGCAAATATTTTCTCCGTCGCTGTAAATGGGTACGCCAGGATCGCCTGCGACGGATCCAACGGCGGCGGCAGCCGCGCCGCCGTTGTCGTTAGCTCCGTTGCCGTGGGCACCGGAGGATGTTGTGCCGGAGCTTGTGTGCCACCGTGAACTCCGCCACTTGCAATGGCTGGCCGAGCCGGCCCACAGGGCTCCGCCTTCTTCGCAGGAGCCAATTTCGTGGCTGTCGTACGTAAATTTGAAGCAGTCGGCGCCGCACCCGGTACCGGCCCCTTGAGCGGTTTCCGGCTCAAAGCTGCCGCCGGTGCCGTGGCCTTGACTGACGTAATCGGCTGTCGCAGATTCGACACCGCTGCTTTCGAGGCCACAGGTGCCGCCTTGTGCCGCGCGGATGACGCCGATGATGATGCGCCATACATCATTGGGGATCCAGCAGTTGAGCGAGTTCGACCTGCCGCCATTGTCGCTGCAGCCGTCGTCGTCAGTGCTTTTGCGGCTGTAGCGACTGTTCTTGCCTTGGCCGCGGCCATGGGAGCAGATCGAGCCGATGAGTATGATGGGGCCACCGCCGGCCTTCCAACCAATCGCAGCTTTGACACGGAGCTTGTTGCTTTGATGCTTCCGGCAGTAGCAGTCGAACTGGCTGCGTGGGGCGTGGTGCTGGTCGCAGTGCTGGCGGTTTTCCGCAGCGTGGGCCGCGCCAGTGTAGGACTCCCATCAGATGCTTTCTGTGATGGTGGGCCCGCCGCGGCTTCAACGGCGGCGACCGCCGGCGCCGACGCAGGCCCCTCCGTCGAGTCATCCTCCATCACTTCCAAGCCCATAATGGGATAAGTCGCTGATGCTTGCCTCGGCACATCTTCAGCTGACGCGCCGCCCTGTACCAAATCCTTCTCATTGTCAGCAAGCCCTGTAACAGTTGATTGGATAAGAAAATTCATAGGCAACGATGTCAGTAATTTAAAATTATAAGGTGAAAGCGAACGCTGCAAAATTTCCAGTGCTGTTGTTTCCGTACTTACCGGTGACGGCTGTGGGGCTTTGGCACGGTTGCGCGAATGGTGCTAACGGCGCAAATGAGGCCACCGGCGGGCTGAATGCTGATCGTGCCGATGGCTCAGACGGGCTGAAGGCCGATGGCACCGATGCCTCCGGCGGGCTGAAGGCCGACGCCGTCAACATCTCTTGCTTGCCGAATATTGATAGTGCCAACGGCTCTGGCTGGTCAAATGCTGATGGCGCCGATGCTTCTGGTGGACTAAACGCCGATGGCATCAATGCCTCTGGCGGGCTGAAAGCTGATGGCGCCGATGCCTCTTGCGGGCTGAAGGCCGACGCCATCGACATCTCTTGCTGGCCGAATGTCGATAGCGCCAACGGCGTTGACTGGTCGAATGCTGATAGCGCCGACGGCTCAGGTTGGTCAAATGCTGATGGCGCCAATGCCTCCGGCGGGCTGAAAGCCGATGGCGCCGATGGCTCAGGCGGGCTAAGGACTGATGGCTCCGATGGCCCTTGCGGGCTGAAGGCCGCTGGCTCTTGCGGGCTGAAGGCCGATGGCGCCGATGGCTCTTGCAGGCTGAAGGTCGATGGCTCTTGCGGGCTGAAGGCCGATGACGCCGATGCCTCTTGTGGGCTGATGGCCGATGGCGCTGATGCCTCTGGCGGGCTGAAGGCCGATGGCGCCGCTGGCTCAGGCGGGCTGAAGGCCGATGGCGATGCTGCCTCTGCCGGGCTGAAGGCCGATGGCGCCGCTGGCTCATGCGGGCTGAAGGCTGATGGCTCTGCCTCTGGCGGGCTGAAGGCCGATGGCGATGCTGGCTCAGCCGGGCTGAAGGCCGATGGCGCCGCTGGCTCATGCGGGCTGAAGGCTGATGGCTCTTGCGGGCTGAAGGCCGATGGCGCTGATGCCTCTGGCGGGCTGAAGGCCGACGCGCTGATGGCTCAGGCGGGCTGAAGGCTGATGGCTCTTGCGGGCTGAAGGCCGATGGCGCTGATGCCTCTGGCGGGCTGAGAGGCCGATGGCGCTGATGGCTCAGGCGGGCTGAAGGCCGATGGCGCCGATGGCTCAGGCGGGCTGAAGGCCGCTGGCTCTTGCGGGCTGAAGGCCGATGGCGCTGATGCCTCTGGCGGGCTGAAGGCCGAGGCTGCCGCTGGCTCTGGCGGGCTGAAGGCCGATAGCTCCGATGGCTCTTGCGGGCTGGAGGCCGATGGCTCAGGCGGGCTGAAGGCCGATGGCTCTTGCGGGGTGAAGGCCGATGGCTCTTGCGGGGTGAAGGCCGACAGCGCCCTGGCTCAGGCGGGCTGAAGGCCGATAGCGCCGCTGGCTCAGGCGGGCTGAAAGACGATGGCGCCGCTGGCTCTTGCGGGCTGAAGGCCGATGGGCCGATGGCTCTTGCGGGCTGAAGGCCGATGGCTCTTGCGGGCTGAAGGCCGGGCTCTTGCGGGCTGAAGGCCGGGCCTTGCGGGCTGATGGCTGATGGCTCAGGCGGGCTGAAGGCCGCTGATGGCGGGCTGAGGCCGCTGGCTCAGGCGGGCTGAAGGCCGATGGCGCCGCTGGCAGATGGCGGGCTGAAAGCTGATGGCTCTTGCGGGCTGAAGGCCGATGGCGCCGATGGCTCTTGCGGGCTGAAGGCCGATGGCGCTGATGCTCTTGCAGGCTGAAGGCCGATGGCTCAGGCGGGCTGAAGGCCGATGGCTCTGGCGGGCTGAAGGCCGATGGCGCCGCGGGCGATGGCCGAGGCGCCGATGGCTCTTGCGGGCTGAAGGCCGATAGCGCCGATGGCTCTTGCGGGCTGAAGGCCGATGGCGCGATGCCTCTTGCAGGCTGGAGGCCGATGGCTCAGGCGGGCTGAAGGCCGATGGCTCTTGCGGGGTGAAGGCCGATGGCTCAGGCGGGGTGACGAGGCCGATGGCTCTTGCGGGCTGAAGGCCGATAGCTCCGATGGCTCTTGCGGGCTGAAGGCCGATGGCTTCGATTGCGGGCTGGAGGCCGATGGCTCAGGCGGGCTGAAGGCCGATGGCTCAGGCGGGGTGAAGGCCGATGGCTCAGGCGGGGTGAAGGCCGATGGCTCTTGCGGGCTGAAGGCCGATAGCTCCGATGGCGGGCTGGAGGCCGATGGCTCAGGCGGGGTGAAAGCCGATGGCTCAGGCGGGGTGAAGGCCGATGGCTCAGGCGGGGTGAAGGCCGATGGCTCAGGCGGGGTGAAAGCCGATGGCTCAGGCGGGCTGAAGGCCGATGGCTCAGGCGGGGTGAAAGCCGCTGGCGCTTGCGGGCTGAAGGCCGCTGGCTCTTGCGGGCTGAAGGCCGCTGGCTCTTGCGGGCTGAAGGCCGCTGGCGCTTGCAGGCTGAAGGTCGATGGCTCTTGCGGGCTGAAGGCCGATGACACCGATGCCTCTTGTGGGCTGATGGCCGATGGCGCTGATGCCTCTGGCGGGCTGAAGGCCGATGGCGCCGATGGCTCTTGCAGGCTGGAGGCCGATGGCTCAGGCTGGGCGAATGCTGATGGCACCGTCGTTCCTGACTGGCCCAATACCTCTGGCTCTGATGCCTCATGCAGGCTGAATGCCGACGGCACCGACGTGTCTGGCAGGCCCAAAAGTGATGGCTCAGGCGACCTGAAGGCCGATGACGCTGAGTATTTCACGCTATACATTGCTGACGGCATGCATTGCGGCGAAGGGGGGGGCAGCGGATTCGCTTTGACCGTCGTAGGCAGTTCAACAGCAGAACTGTCCGCAAGTGCGGCAGCATGGAAATCATCAAGGTCGGCGCCTGCGAACCATGATGCGCCCATAACGGATGGCTCCAAGTTGCGTTTCGCAGCTCCCCCGACATCCAATAGCGTGTCAGTACCTGCAGCTGCATCGTTGACTGACATCGGGGCTGCGTTGGCCCCCGTCCCTGCGTGGATCACCGGCGCCAATGGCGAGTCAGTCAGAAAGGTTTCGTCCAAGAGGGTTATTGCCGCGCGGATCAAAGGGACAGCGGTCAAACTGTCTGGAGGCCACTGGGAAGCTTCGCTGTCTGCAGCCAGGGTTGGCGGCTCATCTGCCTCGGAAGCCCCGCTGGTAGCAGGCGGCGGGACGGCAGTAGAACAGTACAGCGGACGGCGCTCATGCAGCAGCTTGCCAGCAGCATGAACCAGTTGCACAGTTGCTTCAGCGGCAGAAGCAAATGCCGTGGCGGTAGCAGAAGCCGCCACAGCAGCAGGCAGCGAGGGACATGGCAACGCTGTGGCCAACGCTACATCCTTTTGCGACGGTGGCAAACTGGGCTCCATGGCCTCGTGCTGCGGATGGGACGACGGCTTGGGAGTTGGCTCCGCATCCATGGCATCCATCCCAGCACCGCAGTCAGCCACATGCGGCGCCTGGACGCGGCCGCCGGCAATGCAGTGTCTTTGGAATGTGTGCCGACAGGTTTTCATGGCATATCTACACAGCAATACAAAGCAAAGGAAATCTCCACAGCGCAGCTGAACGGGACAACGGCCAAAACTGCTGTTAGGGATAAACCCTGATCCCTAAGTCCCTTTTACCTGCATACCCTGGGTTTGCACAAGCAATTGCGTATCTAACGGACGCGCACCACAATACGTTTGCTTACACCTAGCCTGTCCTCGCAGCACTTCTCCGTCCTTCCTTCCCCTTTTTACCGCCATTCCGCCTCGTGCTGCTTCATGGTTGGCTGGGACTCAATGCCTATACCGAGGTTCCAGCCAAAAACATTGCAGATAGCCATCCCGCTACCGCGCCCTCTGGTTGGGCGCGTGGCGTTGCGGCCAGTGTCACCGATTCGTCACCACGCTCATTGGCGTCGCCGCCAGGGCCACGCAGGACCCATGTCGGTCGCAGCTCCCGGCCCGACGAAATTACGGTAGTGGAATCCAGCTCCCCCATCGCGCCTTTGGCGACTGTGTCCGGTCATATCATGTCGACGCCTTCGCCATCGCGGTGCCCGGCTGACACAGTGGCAGATCTCTCCGAGGATCCGACGCCGACGCTAGTTTGTTCGGCAGCCGTAACAGAGGCTGGGTCGTCACTGCTGCCGGAAGCAAAGCAGTCAGACACATGCCGCGCA